TGGCAGGTTTTGCATTTCTTGTCATGGCACGGTCTGGATCCTTCTGGTGTGTTCTGGGCTTGAGGAAGTTTGCTTCTGGTGATGAGGTTAGCGAGGTTCGGTGCTTGTTTGAAGGCTAGGATGGGTGGCTCTGGGAAGATCTTTTTAAGAATAGAGTCTCTTTCTTGTAAATCCTCAAACAATTGCAACCCATACTAGAATCTACATCTTCACTGACCACCTGTCTTTTATGCATACCAGCCCAGCCGCTGGCTTCTTTACTTTTCATTCCATCCAGGAAGAGCACACACCAACTGCTGAAACTTCCTTAGCCTGACGAAGGGTTTTTGAACCCGAAAGCTTGCTTAATAACTGTTCACCAACCATTTGGGTTGGTCTAATAAAAGATATCAGATTCACCCAAGGAACCTTGTCTGTCTTAATTTCTATATGCATTAACCTTTAAAAATTCAGCTTCTGTAAAGCATCTTCCAACATCTGAACATAAATAAGAATCTTCATATGCAGTTCTAATTGTATTTTACCTGAGAAATGCAAAGGCTTGATGTGCCACAACAGAATAAACCAAGTCATAGAAACTGTTTCTGTAGGTATTCTTGAAGTATAATAAAGAAAATGGTACTGACTCAGTAAGATTAAATACATTAAATGCATTTTAAATTGAATACAGCTCGAATTTCCTACTACTTTGAATCTGTTTCTTTTTGTAGTGCTGTACTACTGTAGCTACCATATTCCCTTGTAAAACTATTCATGTTTCAGGGGTGAGAGAAATTATTTTTGTATTAGTTGTGTTTAAACATGTTGGCATGAAAGGTATTGTATACATGTTAAGTGGTAAAATATATATTTTAACTGCCTACAAGTAAGTGCATTTCTTCATGAGGAGTCAGCTGTTTATTTCTGATCCCTTTCACTTCTGTTCCTGCAGCATACCCATAGCTATTGATCACTACAGAATTGCCTTGGGTCCCAAACGAGGGCCATCTGTTACAGAAAAGGAGGTGTTGACCTGTATTCTTTGTCAAGAGGAACAAGAAGTGAGACTGGAGAATACTGCAATGGTACTATCGGCCTGTGTCCAGAAATCCACTGCCTTAACTCAGTACCGTGGGAAAACTCTTGAAGACTCGGATGGTATGTGTATCGCTTCAGTTTATAAGCTGTCACTGTTCCCTTCCTAGGTGTAGTTAATTAAACCCTTCAGCCCATCAGATTGCTGTATGAGTACTCTTAATGAAAAGTCAATTAAGGATTTTAAACCAATCCAAAATTCTTGCCATAAAATGAAAAGTGAGATTTGTGTAGAATTACTACCATCTTCCCCAGCAAATCAAAGATGAATTATATGTGCACATAACACAGAGACAATGGAATGAATTATAAGTGCACATAACACACAGACAAAAAAATCTCAATAAGCTGTGGAAACTAGTAAGTAGGGAAGATATTCTAAGGAAAAGGGCAGATATTGAAAGAGAGTATTAAAGAGACTATGGCAGACTCCCAGTTTAAGTAGTATTTAGGTAGGGACCAATATTGCAAGTAGCAAATTTGCTTGTGATTAGGAACTCTTCAGTAGCGCATGTGCAGATGGCTGACTGGGAGCAAATATGCTCCCAGTTAGCTGGGCAGCATGGGGTGGGAGATTTGCTTCCTGCACCTAGGAACTGTTTGCTGCCAGGACAGGTTCCACCACTGGAACCTGGGTGGAGACAGTCCTCCTGCCCTAGCAGCAAGGAGCTCCCAGCCCCTGCTCCACAATTGCCTTGATCTGCCCCTCTCCCTCTCCATGCCCCTTCCTACCCAGACTTACACTGCTTTTCAAGCTGCCGGGCTGTATATTGGCAATTGGATCAGTATCAGCCGATATGGCTGGCTAATAATTGGTAACAGCCAGAAAAACCTTTATCAGTGCACTTCTACTCAGTAATGGAAAACAACTATGAAGTTGATTAAATGCAACCAGCACTGAGCATGACTAAAACACCTGGCCTATATTGGGCAAGCATTCATGATAGGTTACTACACCCCATCTGAATAAGAGATATGATAGTGTTCATTGTGCTTAGTCCTCCTCAGTGCAGACTGTTTTTCAAGTCATAGCGAGCCACATTTTGACTTCCTCTTCACTCCCACAGCTGAGCTGCGCCTTTTCTTCCCATTTCCAATGATTTTTGTTTCTTCACTAGCCTTAAATACCTGGCACACATCACCAAATTGGTTCACCCAGAAACACTGTCACCCCCTTACTCAGTGCATTGTATTTGATTAGTGTGGCTCTGCCCTCTGTGGGGTGGACCTGGAACAGGTATCCCTGTGCTGCATCTACGTATACATTTTTGGAGAGTCCCAAGACTCGCGACAAGAACATCCACTTTCAGTCATGCATGGGGGACTAATTAGCACATGGATCTTTTGTAGGGGCTATCTGAAGCAGCTTTTCTCAAACTTTTTTGTACCAGGACCCATTTGGAAACATCAGTGGCCAGTCCTGACCCAGTGCCCCTCACTCTCAACCCACTGTCCCCTGACACCCAGTATGTGGGGCAAGTGGGGCTTCAAGCAGCTTCTTGTAGGCTGGAAGTCTGCCAGCCTCAGTGACTATGTGTAGGGGATGTACATGCACCCCCTGAGATCGCTGGTGCGCCCCCTGCGAGTGCTGGCTGGGGAGTGGGTGTGCCAGGAGAAGCAGCTTGTGCTACCGGGTCAGCATGATTGGCTGCAGGTGATCCCTGTCCCTCCAGTCGGTGAGATTGGCTGTGGGGGGACCTCCCCCAACCCCTGGTTGGCGTGAGAGGGCACATGCCCCCCCAACTCAGGAGGCATCAGTCGCCTGTGGCCAGCCTGCATGGGAAAAGCCCCAGTTTCCCATGTTCTTCTCCTTCAAAGAAGAAACCATTTTTAAAGTTTGTTTGTGACCTTTTCATATATTCTTTTGATCCACTTCTGGGTCATGACCCATGGGTTGAGAAATGCTGATCTGGAGTACACACATATGCTGAGCTGTGCGGTCACCATGGCTTGAAATGCTGTTAACTCTGCTGGGACCCATCCCAATGAACTATGTGGTAAATCATGACCCTTTGGCTTTGGACTAATATCATGCAGTTTGTACTTGTATATAAGTAGGTACAAAAGTGCTGCTTAAAAGTGTGTTTACGGAGTACCTGTGCTAAAACTTGGAATAGTTTCAAAAAAGGTAAAATGCATTAATTCTGAGTGAACTAAGTCTATGGGTACCTGTAGTAATTTGCATATATACAAATTACTACAGGCATATTTCTTTCAAAGTCAGTTTTCAAAATTTGCTCCTCACTTCCATGTACTCATGGAGAGCAAGGTCTAACAGTAAGGATGGAGGGGGGAAGAAGTTGGGGTGGGGGGCAGAGACCTGACCCGCAGATTTATTTTCCCGGCTGCAGCAGTAGGACGAGGACAAATTAAAGGCCAGCCTCCAATAATTAAATTCTATACCTGGAAAATTATAACAAACCTTATAAGTTTTCGATATATAGAATCTAATTATGGGGAGTCGTCTTACATTGAGGGTATTTATAATAATGTAGGGGATAACAAAAAGCCAAATTAGATTTTCAAGAACAAATTGCAGCAAACAAATCTCTAATTTCCTCTCAACAATGTAACTACATAAAGAGGAAACGTATACCGTAGGTGTGTTACATCTTGATTTTGGTAGTCAGCAAATAAATGAAATTATTGTAAGGTGGAGGTATGCAACTGATAGATGAAGTGGTACACATTAGCTGAGGGAATGAGAAGTTTTGTATTATAAACCATACAGTATGTATTAGCAGTGACAATATAAATCGGTTGCTGCTCTCCTACTACATACTCCGTTCGTCCATAGCATCAAGTTGTCTGTGAAAAATCATGCTTATTCAACTTATTAACATAAAAGTGAGCATGAGTGGAATGCAGAAAGTTGAATCATTCATGCCCATTTTGGCTGCTTTTCCTTTGTCCTTGTACCTAATGTTCAGAATAAATCAAAGTTAGTAATGATACTCTTGTGTCCAGGCAAGCTCATTGTTAGTGACCATTCACAAGTCTTCTGCGCTTAACTGTGTGTGTTTATCAACATAACAGGGGAAAGAAGGAAAGTTATCTTCATTTACTAAGGCTGTTAGCAGATATCTGAACTCTTTATACTTAGTTCCTTTCCAGTTCACAAATAAAGAATAGATCTTTAAATGTTTTTTTTCCCTAAAATACATGAGCAGGAAAACACACTAATACCACAATGTGTACACATTTCAGAAGTAGTTTTGCACCAGGGTGTATCAGCCTATTCTCTACTTCTAGCACTTTATAAGATATAACTTACTACCCTATGCGAACGGAAGCCTTGGATTTGCGTTCGCTCACTTGCTCTCTTCTGCTCTCTATCTCCCCCTCTCTCCCCCTTTCCTCTTCCCCCATATAGGTATGGAAAGAATGTGCAAGTGTGGGGGGAGGGAGGAACGGGGGGAGAGAGAAGAGGAGGGGGAGAACTTGACTATACATATGGGAAGCGAGACAATGTATATGCAATAAAAGTAGCAACCCCCAAAATATAATATAATATTGGTGGATTTTTTTTTGCTGCTTTTGTTGTGTCTATATTATTATTCAAGTTTACCTGTTCAAAACCAGAAAACACTTCTTATAAAGGTTGGCACAGTTGTTGTGATTCAGTTGTGCACTCCTCAGATTTTATTCCATGAAAAATGAAATCTGACTCTAACTGTATATTGCAGGGGTTTTCAACCTTTTTTAGTCTATGTACCCCCTGGCGGCTGGATGCTGACCAGGGGGATAGTGCGTGGTTGGACATGGAGCAGGGAGGCAGGGACAGTACACAGGCAGGCAGGGATAGAGCACTGCTGCCTCCCAGGAGCAGGGCTGTGGCGGGGTGGGGAAGCTCACTGGGCTAGTTTGTGGTGACAGCAGCAGAAGGGCACCACTGCCCTTGCCCCATCCCGGCCCTGCTCTTGGGAGGCAGCGGTGCTCCAACCCTGCCTGCCCATGCATACCTCCTAGGACCAGTCCAAATATCCCCAGGGGTATGCAGCCCCCTGATTGACAACCCCTGGCATATTGCAACACAACAAAACCTGTCAGGTTCTTTTAATAGTGTTGCTAGTTAATTTCTTTTCAAACAAAATGAATCAGAATGCAAGTGCAAGATGGGCTTTACTTTGACATTTGATATATAGCTAGTCTTTTGTCATTAGTCAACTTATTCATCACCAAATACAAGGCCAAAGGTAATGCAGCTGAAATTCTAGACAGGTAAAGTTGACTGAGTATTTTGATACCTTTTTCCAGGAGAAAATATTATTTCTAATTGAAGAAAATTCATCTCCTAGCTAAAATTGTTTTCAGATTTCATTTTTTAAATTTCATCATTTTGCAGTAGCATAGCTCGGTGGCTGTCAGCATATTGCAAAACTTTCAGATTTCTAACTTGACTGTGTATACAGTGGAAAAATAATAGTAATGAAAAGGATTTGTGTCTGAATTGATCAAGTGTATACTATCTTTCTTTTTAACTTTATTTCTTTGTTTTGTTTTTCTAGGTACGCTTGATCCTCTTTTCATGCATCCTGATTTGTCATGTGGAACTTATACAGGAAGCTGTGGTCATGTGATGCATGCCGCCTGCTGGCAGAAGTAAGGATTATATCTTTGCAGTTTTATTTTGTATTTAGAAGATAATCTGTTTCTAAAGCATTTAAGGGCGTGCAAGCACCATAATAAAAATACTGAAATTGAAATAAGTTTTCAATCAGTTTAAGTACCCAGCCAAGAAAGAATGAAAGCAACCTGGCAAATAGCAGTCTCAAACCAAGAGAGAAAGGCATCAGTAAAAGGAAGGTAGTATCCTGTTTGGCTAAAAGAAGAGTTTGGCTCCAGCTCCTGGCTGCCTTCCACCCACTCCGCTGCAACAGGTGAGCAGAGTGGGTGGAAGGCAGCCAGGAACTGGAGCCAGAGCCCGGCATGCTGGGGGAGGAGCCACCTAGCTAAAGCTTCCTCCTGGCCAGGAGTGGTGCAGCAGGAGGAGGAGCCCCTGGAGACAAGGAGAGCAGGACAGCACCCAGGCAGCAGCAGTCACACTGGGATCACCCCTGCCGGAATCTGTGCACACTGGCCTGGGCTGAGCTGGCAGGAGTGGGCTGGAGCATGGCATGGGCTGGCCTGGGCTGGGCTTAGTCCCATGTAGAGGACCACAGGGCCAGCCACAGGCCAAATAGAATCAATTGGTGGGCTAGGTCTTGCCTACCCCTGCCCCTAGCTGATCATTACTGTCAGTTTAGGACATCGCAATTTCCAATAGACCTTAAATACTTAGGGACTTGATGGAAAAGAGCTGTATCTAATGCTTTTGTAACAGTGAATAGTCTTTTAGCAAGAAATAGGACACAATTATTGGCAAAGTTTAAACCAGGGGCAGGAAAACTCCCTCCTGTGGGCTGGATCCAGCCAGCCAGGCACTTTCATCCTGCCCATGGCACTCACCAACTAATTGTACCCCACCCAGCCCTTCTGCCCATGATAATGGGAGCGAGGAGCAGCACATCCTCAACAAGCAGCACTAGGTCAGAGGAGGGGCAGACTGAAGTGCTCTGGGTCAGAATACAAGGGGGTTAGGAGGAAAGGGACTTAACAGTGGGGGGGTCTACTACAGACCACCCAACCAGGGAAAAGAGCTAGACCGGGAATTCTCAGGTCAGCTTGCAGAGGCAGTTAAGTCAAAGGATGTGGTCATCATGGGTGACACAAACTATCCAGGCATTTGCTGGGGAAAGCAGTCAGCCAGGTCTGATCACTCACATAGGTTCCTAGTCATGTTACAGGACCTCCGTCTAACCCAGGAGGTGCACAGTCCCACCAGGGGAAATGCCTTGTTAGACCTGGTCCTGGCCACAAGTGACGACCTGGTGAGGGGACTTGATCACCTGGGTGATAGCGATCATCGTCTATTGGAATTCACCATCCAGCGCAGGGTGGCAAAGGCCTGCAGCAAGACAGAAGCCCTGGACTTCAGGAGGGAGAATTTCATTGAGCTAAGGAGACTAGTTGGGGAGGTACTGAGATCCCGGAGGGTTAGAGAGTTGGGAGTCCAAGAAGAGTAGTCGTTCCTGAAGGAGGCGATCCTCCAAGCCCAAAGGGTGGCAATCCCAACACAGATCAAAGCGGGGAAGAGTGCTCAAAAGCCCCCATGGCTCACCAAAAGCAACCAGGAATGTCTCAAAGCTAAGAAGGAGGTGTACACCCAATGGAAGGGAGGGGCCATCACCAGG